GAGCACTACCTCACCTGGTCATTGTTAGTGAACACTACCTCACCTGGTCATTGTTAGTGAGCACTACCTCACCTGGTCATTGTTAGTGAACACTACCTCACCTGGTCATTGTTCTCCTCATTCTTCGTTAGCGGATAGATGGCAAAGTAGATGTGCAGGTAGAACTCGAGCTTCCGAGAGCTGCTCTCTTGGTCACGCAGACTGGCAGGCAGGTGTTCCCTCCACAGCTGGAAGAACCGGACTCCCTGACCTCTGTCGAACGCACCAAGCATCGTCTTCTACGCGAAAAAATACAGCAGCTGCCCGGTGAGCATCACGATCTCACAAGAAATGTTTCATGGCCAGAGAGAGAGAAATGAGTTAGTGTGATCTACACAAGATCCGTATCACAGCCTGCCACGGCATGAACATTGTGTTCTACACAATAAATGCATCGGTCAGTGACCAAGAATCATGTTCTACGCAAGAAATATATCACAGTCACCCAATCATTAACTGACCACAGTGTTCCACACTATAAAAGCTTTGCATACGGTGACTGTTTGCCCTTGCTGTGGGTTATCCACCACCTAATATTAACAATACACTTACAACACAAGCGTATCACTACACACCAGCGTAAGATGGTGCAATCTGATTAGCTTTTACTCCTAGGATTGTCCATCACAAACCCTCAGTGGCACACAGGATCACATTACACAAGCCTAGCAATAGCACGTACAGTAGTGCTATTATTCCCTTCAAGATATGCATGCAGTGTCTACTTAGAAGTATTCTGAATGTTACCCTTTTTACCTACGTACTGCCACGTAAATAATCAATACATTTCCTTTATATAGCACACACATGTGTTGATGCACAGAGAACCTATAAAAGTATCGGGATGAAGCTATTTGCAGAGTAACGTAACAAAGCTTTTATGACAACTCGTCTTCTATAATCTTTGGATGGTTGGGTCTAGATAAATTAGACAGTGTAAACAGGAATGAGCGTTCACGTAGAAATGATGAAGAAGATCCAAACTTGTGTGGTAAACTGTACAACCTTTAATACTCATACACTGTGTAGCCACATCATCAGACAATCGCACAAACAGACAAAGAACGCGCACACGCACATACGCGCGTGTGCCTCCTTCCGCGACCAGAACCAGCTTCCCTCCTCCATCTCTGTCCTATCTATTTCCCCCAAACTCCTACAAACATACTGCCCGCACATGTACCCGTTCTTACACACTACATCCTACCCCAATTTCACAGTGACCCTCTAATCTGTAACCTAACCACGTTTACCATTCTCTCTAATACATCAATGTAGCAATGACGCTCTGTCTAGCTAGCCATGTCACACGTGTAAAACAGATGTTACATCAGTAGAGAAACCTTATATGAATTTATAATTATGCTAACTAACGGGTACCGATTCCCACGCCCGTAGTAATGTAATAACTATATGAAAATATATATATATATATATATACAATCTCTTTATTTAGATATATAGAGTACACACATGGTAATTTTAACATCGCCATTTCCGCCCCACATTGCACGGAGCAAGATCAATCATGCAGCTTTGCCTTCCATATCATCTTACCGCCAAAATCACAACACGCCCCGGCCCTTTCACTTGCATATAACCTCACACACGCCCCTGTGAGGCCACAAAACAAGTCCACGTCTTTCACGATGGGTTTTCCTTATTTCCCAATAATATGAGGAAGTAAACTTGCTAGGAAGTACGTTCGGGGTACATTTCTATTTATTGATGAAGAGATAGACTGGAAAAGGAATTGATATGGTGAGTTTGTTTAGTCTGTCAACACCGAGTAAAGAGCCTGCATGCATGATCATATTATGGGCAATGCCCGACCAATAATCTGGCGTAAATAGCATTGTAGACCTAAACGAACAAGGCCTTAGAAGGCCGAACGACGTCCTAGCCCGGCCCGTCCCTAGGCCTAGCCCGGCCTAGCCCAGCCGGCGCCCAGCCCCGCCTAGCCGGCTATAGGCCCGTCCCTAGGCCTAGCCCGCCTTAGCCCGGCCCGTCCCCCTAGCCGTCCCGGCCGAACAACGACCTAGTTCCTCTCGAAGTGAGAAGGAAAAAAAACAAGTATGAAATCTCGCCGTGTCTCTGTGAATTGTTGATGGCCGCATGAACTACAGTACGCGTTGCTGTCTGTCGATCGTGTACGGGAAATAACAAACATTCCCCGAGCGTGGCTACAACTCCGTGTTGATGACCTGTTATGTGTGTGTGTGTGTGTGTGTGTGTGTGCGTGCGTGCGTGCGTGCGTGCGTGCGTGCGTG